ATTTGTCAGAACTGCACCTTGTGGTTTAAATTTAAACAATTTCTTTACAACTTTGTCGACTTCTGACGGCCTTTAAGGCCCGACCTAGACTTCTGACAATAATTTTCCTAGATTCCTACGGTTAAAAACTATAACTCTACCAAATTTCAGAACTGCACCTAATCATGTTTTTCTTATTGAAAATTTACGACTTTGACCGCCCACCCAAGCCTTCCGCTCCGGGAGAGAGTTCTGACGGGCCTCGCTCTGTACTTATAAGCTACCAAGGAGAGGTTATATATATACATAGTTCGTTACTACATCTTATCAGTTCACGTTTTCGTAGCCAGCTCTTAGACCATAACAATTTGTGTCTGAAGTCAAGTCATTATTGAACCAAGTGTTGGATTAGGAGTGACTAAATCTAGTCCAGTTCAATCTCCAGAAGACACAAATTTGCGCGGTTTTTGTTAAAAAGAACCCCTTAGTCGTATCTCAATCTTGATTCAAGGCACTGCTCTTGTTGCCTCAGCCAGTATCGGATTCCTCGGTGTCAATATATTGAGTGACGTGCAGTTTCATGTTAACTTGGAAGAGAAGGCTAAATTGGCCTCTAAAAAGTTTGGCGTGCTCAGCAAAGCGGGACAGTATTTCATGCCGGCACACCGCTTTCAACTTTACAAGGCGCACGTTTGGCATCACATGAAATACTGTTCTCATCTCTAGGCCAGGGTATCCCAATGTCAACTCTTCCCACTTGACCGCATCCAGCGCAGAGCGGCTTAAATCGGTGACGATCGAGTTTTCTCTATTCGGCTTGATCTCTCGTAGCATTTTCTATCGTATTTACCACGGGAATAGCGTTGAGGAATGTTGTGCGGATTAATTCCAGCCACCAAATTTCACCAACGCACATCGAGACAAAACTTATGACACCATCCACATCATTTTTTTAGATTTGCAAAGAGTTTTCTTCCTCGCACGATGGTTTTGTGGCATTGTTTATCAGCGACGATTTTTCCGGAGTGATGCAACTTAAAGACCTGCAAGAAATGAGCTTACGCCTTTTTAAAAGGCCGGCAACGCATCTGCCATTCCCCTGGTTCTCCTGGTGTTACAGTTATTCATGGGTGGCGGTCGGCACTTACTACCAGATAAGCCGCATGCTCGTTTGCATCGTCCTCTTATAAATAAAAAAGTTCCGATATAAAATGCTTAGGGTTCGCTTAGATTATTTAGAAGGATGTCTGTGTGAGTGTTTTGTCTCGCATACAGTTTCAAGAAGAAATGATGACATTAAACATTAATTAGAATCAATTATTCTGTAAAAAAAAAACTAGTCACCAAATGGGAAGTTGATAATGATAGTAGACCGAATCGCACTATTATTTATTTGATATTTAGATACTTGTTTACTATAATAACCAGTGCTCGACTGTTATTCCACCTGATGGTAAGCGGCATACTAATCTACCATACGGCCAATTACTAAGTCAGGTAAAAACATCTATTTCCGCGGTATTATTATTATTATCACTATTTTTCCTTCTAGCTTTCCTTTAGAATGAAATAACAAAATACCTACTTAAATAGATCACCTTTGCATTCTATAATTAGTGAATGAAACGCGAAGGACCTCGGAAATAGATTTCACACTTCATTGTCTTTTTAAATTGTCAAACCCAAACACGTTAAGGGTTTATGATTATTAACCAACCCTGAAAATTAAAAAAGAAATCAAATATCAGAAATCGCTAATCCAGGGATACATTGAAACAAGGAACCGGCTGAAATATTTGGCAATTTTTCAGGTTTATTTTAGTATTAAGTTTAGTATTTTCGATTAAAAATATAATCAAAGAAATAGTTTAACTCAAAGAATTGCCAAAAAATTTATTTCACTATTTAAAAAACATTGTAATCACGTACACAAGGTTCAAAATGTATGAAGCGTGGGTTCAGACCAGCTGCTGACGCAAAACTAACAAATTCAAAATTATTTTAAAATGATGATCTTTGATGATATAACTACGCAAAGTTATATTATCAATTCAATAAGAGATCTTACAGTAAGAAAGAGCTTGTAAATCGCTAGTAAACACAGTTTTTCCGAACTCCTCGGAATTAGGTGCCTTTACCTTAATCTGACTTAATAGAAAGAGAAAGTTCGTGATTCAATTGTACTTCTTATGTGTCCCGTGATATCTTCAACGATTTTAAACCGATTCTAATGTTTATTTTATTATTAAATAGACTCATATAAAGTATAGAATAAAGAGAAATATCTCGAAAATGTTCCCATTTCCATTTGAATTGAAAATTGCATCCTTATAGACGACGTTCTTGGTGTCACATTTGATTTAATTATTTGAAAATAGAGTTTGCAACGCTACCAAAGTGTAATATTGGTAAAAGTGGTGGGAGAAATAATGATATTGTAACAATTTAAGAGTTGAATTATTAATCTGGTGAATCTTATATTGATATTGCAATACGCTTAATTTCATATATACAAATAAATAAAATTAAGGGTCTGTTTGTAATGTCAAAATTACAGAGTCAGTATAGTTAAAGGACGTGAGATTTCCATCTCAAAGGTGACAACGAATCTGTAGCTTTCTTTTTTAAAGTTGGTTACATAGGCTGCACTGGCCACTTACCATTAGGTGGACTCTGAGTTCGTTTGTTTCAATTTATACAAATAAATAAAATTGAAGTGTCTGTTTGTAATGAAAAAGTAAGAGCTTTTTACTAATTGCATACGAAAGTATATACGGTACTTATAACAAAAACACAACTTTTAAAATTTTTGTCTGTTTGTCTGTTTGTTTCGGCTAATCTCCGAGACGGATGGTCCGATTTTGGCGGGACTTTCACTGTTAGATAACTCATGTCACAAGGAGTAACTTAGGCTACTTATATTTTTTTTAATTATTAGGGTTCCGCGCAACAAAATTAAAACCCCAAATTACACGTGGGCGAAGTCGCGAGGAACAGCTAGTTTTATAATATAAAACAAGCGATTTTTAAAAGAGGTAGGACAGTACATACTACTTATACCCAGAATTTTTTTTATTAAAATTAGGGTGACCAACAAGCACACAGTTCCCTAAAGGTGCTGTAGCCCATAGGCATCTAAATTTATCTTCCATTAAGAATAGAATTTTTTTAGAGAAATGTTCTACGGAAAAACGGGCCGTCCTGGCACAGGTATATATTTACTTAAAAGGTTGTCCCAACAAGGGATTAATGTATCTATTTTAACAAACCATGTAATAATAATAAAAAATATAAAAAATTTCAGATGCGTTGTCACCTCCGAGGACTAACATGCAATGCCTTGTTTCCAGTAAAAAGGGTCTCCGGTCCTCTACACTCACCATACGAAACACAGCAGCATTAAGCTGCTATTTTGCGCTGGTATTCTGTGAGAGCGTGGTCCTTCCCCTTTCGAGTGGGTCGACTCGACAGGGGAAGAAACACGCTCTCACAGAATGCCAGCGTAAAATGGCAGCTTGACACTACTGTGTTTCGTATGGTGAGTGTAGAGAACCAGAGAACCATTTTACTGGAAAAGAGGCATTCCATTTTAGTCCTCACGGGTGACGGCGCATCTGCATTTTGATTCTTTTGAGGATAAATGTAAATGTCTTTGGGTCACAGCAACCAATTACCATCAGGTGGACTGTGTGCTCGTTTGTTACCCTTATTCTATAACAAAAAACCTCACCTCATCTCCTCCTCACACTCACATCACCTCCTACACGCTCTGCGATCTGCTGATTGCCAGACGACGCTCCAACCAAATATCACAAATTGATAACGGAAAGCAGCTTATTGTCTGTCCAGTGTGTTGATTACGGGATAATATCCTAAATGATGCCTTCATGCGGGTGCAATATTGCATTAGCCTCGGTTCATCTGAGGACTTGGAGAGGACGTGGATAAGACAATAAAAACTTTTTTAAAATATAAAGTGTAAATTGACCAGTAAATAATTTAACCTTCTTATTGATTATTTAAGTAAAATTAAAATTAAAAATGTAATTAATAATTGAGAAAGTATTATTACAGTTGCCGATACCTATAAATAAGACACGGATCTCTAGTACGGGGACTTTATGCACTTATTAACTTATAGTTTTATTATGTGATTTTAGTATAAATCAAACTGACGTATACTATGAATCGACTCAAGTGATGAATGAATGTTACACGTGTTATTTATATTTTTCTTACTTTTTCAGTTTCCTTATATCACGTTTTGACAACTATTTTTAAAAATTAATAAATTTAATTTTAAACTTTTTAAACTTTTATCATGAAAATCAAAAGATTTCGACAGAATTTACTATCCAATGATGTAATGCAGCCTTTGTGTAGACAAGTGTAGTCAAGCGCAGAATCCACTTTAATCTCCGGCCATAAACGGAAATCTTTCGCCCGAACGCGTTAGCATTATCACATATCTCTACACATACGTGCGTATGGCAATAGCCTTACATATTATCCTTTACGACGACTTAATGCATGATGTCGCCGTCAAACATTTAGAGCTTGCTATATAAAAAAAGGATGTAAACGCGGGCGACCCACGATTTGCGCGCGCGCGCGTCGGGAAATCATTCAAACGCATCGAGCGCCCGAGTCGAACGTCAAGCCAACGGAAAGTGACAGTTTAGTTTTCTTTTTTTTTTATTTACAACGAACGACGCACCCACATATATACAGCTTTAAAAATAAAGTGTATGTGCCACAGTGTTGCGATACGTCAATGTATACCCTAGGACGATGTACTTCGAAAACAATTGTACCTCGCGAAACGAAAGGTGCTTAAGCGGCGTCACGGAAACGCTGGAAATTTTAAGGTTTCTGATGCTGCAGTTAGTTTTACCTATGGAAAGAACGATATGGATTATTTTTATGTGATCTTAGGAAACACCTGTGGATTTTTTTTTAGTGTAAAAGCTACGCTGTGATAACTTTAAGAATATACGGAAGTAAAATAAATAAGAATCAAGATGATGTCCAAAAAGCAGTTGGCCTGCATGCTGGCCCTCCACATCGTGTATCTTCTTGTCGGTGCGAGTATTTTCTACCACATCGAGAGTCCTGTTGAGTTGGCTCAGAGGGCCGAAGAAAAACTGGAAAGACTTGAAATCCAAAGTAAGTCCATTGCCATTAGTTCAGTTAACGTTCTACACTTGTACGTGGCCTCAACTGTCAATCGCTGCATTGGAAATTATATCCTTTTTAATCTCCTTCACAGGCTAATAGTTCTTTGTTGCATTAAAATATAAAACTTCTCTGCGACAATTTTAATAATATTAAACTGATAAAAATAATCATGTAATTTTTAAATATAAACGTTACATGACAAACAAATCATTTATACCTGAAATTAAAATAGATAAATTTGAATCTATTTTCGGAGATTTTCTAAACAATAATACTGCTACTGCTTATTAGAGTTACCACGACCTTTTTGCGTCGGATACAGGTAGGCTTCCAGATTCGCGGGTACCTATTTGCGCCTATGTTGCACATACACTTCTGGCATTATGTCTGCGCTTCCTAAACTTCAAAAAAACCCTCGGTGTTATCTCACTAATAACCGTAAGGCATTTACTTCTAAATATGTTAATTAAATAATTACAGTGTTTTCTCTTAGATGCACTTTTACGCTGACAGCAAACGTATTTTTTTTTATTTAAAAAAAGTGACTGCACAAAATAAATATAACAATAATTTCCTTACATTAGCTTCTGAAGTCTGTGCTAAAACCAGCTAAGACACAGTGTATCGAAGAATTAAAGGTAAGACTTCGGAAGCTTATGTGCAATTTATTTTATTCCTTTTAGTTTTTAGGTATTATTAGTGTTTGTAATATGGTATTTTTTTCACAACAATTACTATTAAGTCGTTTAAATAGTTAATATAAAACTTCGTCCCCTATTTTTCAACTCTTAGGGGTAATTTTTTTCTTTTTATTTAAATGAGACCATCTTTGAGATAAAGCCTATTTAATAAAAAAAAATTATTTAAGTCTGTGTTTCCGTTTTCGAGAAATCGGTGAACGTGCATATAAACATACGCGTCGAATATAATAGAACCTCCTCCTTTTTCGAAAACCATTAATAAATTAACATTATAAAATATAAAAAGCCTCAATTCAGTTGTGTAAATTATTAACTATATCAGAATGAATAACAATTAGGTACATTTATGTCCCTTGCATATCAAATACAAGGAAACAAAAGTAAAACTATCAACTTGTTTTAGATGGACACATGTGTTGTATGTATATCGTACTAATCAGATAAATGAATTAATGTTGTTCCCTGCACTATATTCTACTAGTGTTTGCTTTTATTATCGATCCACTCAATGCAATGTCGATATGTACTGATGCAACTTTACAGTGGCAGTCCTCAGTGACAGTTAAATTAATGTCATTAAATTGATATGAAAGAATGTCGAGTGTTTACTATCTTGTCTTACCTGGAAAGCACTTATTAGTTGTCCTCGTATATTTTTTATTATTATAAACGATTACAAAAGCTACCAGCTTGGGGAAAGAATTAAGGGCCTAATTTCGCGATGTAAATTACAAATAAAAAAACACGCATTTTTTCCACGCATCGCGAAATTTGACGTCCTCTACGTAGAGGACTAACCGCGGCCGCGGTGCGACACGGCATACATTGAAACTGACCTTATACGTACGATGTTTTAATTTATAGAACATTTAGAGTTGAAAATATAAAATAATATCTAGATTTTCAAATCCGCGAATCCAGGCACCAAGCGAGGCAATTAAATAAATTATCTTTATTTGTTTATCGATTAATTGTGAATGTGTCAATTCGCAATTCGAAATTTTTTAACTGAATAAGAGAACGGTATTAAGCGATTATTATAATAGACGGAAGGTACCCTCACGGTATCAATTCTTGCAAGTATCCTTGAGCTAGCATAGTCCTACGAAATGCAATCCCTTGACATTTCGTAGGGTTGGCAGACACTCTGAAGCGCATGACCTAATCATGGACTGACTTGAGATTGGAATTCAATTTGTCAAGCGCATTATGAAGTCACTAATATCAGCCTGTACTGTAGTCGCACTTAGGTGCACTACTGCACCGTGTAATTAGCCTATCTGCACTCGGTGCGTTTCAGTCGCCTAACGTACACGAGTTAAGCCGTCAGAACAGGAGTCCGCGTACCCCATTCATGTGACAGTTGGATAACTCATTTTTATAGTGTCTAACCACCGCACGGAATCTTGATTCTGATCAAACTCGTACTGTTCATCATTTACAACTGTGTGTGGTTAATATCCAAACCCAAGAGCCACGGCGAAGTAGCCATTAGGACATGCGGTCGAAAATTGCCATTATTATTATTTATATTCTAAGTACGTAATCTAATCTAAACATATAATGTCATAACATATTAATTCTGCGTCTTACTAGCGGTATTCCAGGGATCACATTACTATATTAGCTCATAAAAAACTTAAAATAGTTTTCATAAATTCTCCTATAAACCGTTTCTCGCGCTAATATAATGATTGAATCATGTATCTTTTATAAGAAGTTTACATCTATTGTTCGATCTATTCTCCGTGGTAGTCGTTAAAACAATTGATGAGATACATCGATTGTCTACTTGTGTAGATTACTAGTACAATCATTTACATCGCTGAACTAAATATGGGAACATCTCCTCAATTAATCTTGGATATTCAAAAACAAATTGGATAATCTTAACTGTTAACTGCTCGTAACCGATGTAACGCCTACTAAACCCAACAATTGGCACAAATGTTGGCTTCAGCGGGACGAATACCCGTGACTCAATTAGTATCAGGTACGGGGAGTACTCCAACCCCAACTGTAAGAAATGTCAAAAAGATTTCATGATCTCAGATTTTCATATTTTTCTTTCTAGTTAAAGCGTAATATTTCACAGATGGACATGAGCGTCTCTTTTTTTATAGAATTAGGGTGACAAACGAGCACTCAGTCCACCTGATGGTAAGTGGTTGCTGTGGCCCATAGACATCTACATTTATCCTCGATTATGAATCAAAATGCAGATGCGTTGTCACCCGTGAGGACTAAGATGGAATGCCTCGTTTCCAGTAAAAAGGGTCTCCGGTTCTCTACACTCACCATACGAAACACAGCAGCATTAAGCTGCTATTTTACGTTGGTATACTGTGAGAGCGTGGTCCTTCCCCGGTCGAGCCAACCCATTCGTGTTACAACTATACCAGAAATATAGCTGCAGCATGGCTCTACCACATATAAAATATAATCGTCATCAAATTATCAAGCTTGGCAGACAGGCAATTCACGATTGCATTATCAGACATCTCGCACCTTTCATGCGGCTGCCCATCGCCGGTGTTTGTATTTTATGTCCAACCATCACATTTTTCTGGTAGTTCTTAAAGTTGCCTACGGGACAATACGGGATGATGGATTATCTAACGCCGCCACCACCTGGCACCTCCAACCCCCGATAGATGTGTAGCCATCAGTGATAAATCATTTCGCATACTTCTACATCTAATAGCGCGATCGCCAAGACCAAGACCTTTGTATATGTCAAATCTTGTAGACGAGTCTTGTAGGTTGTACGCAGTACTTTTTCTTCTTTTTCAGCCTATAAAAGTTGTTTGAAATGCTGGTTGGGTGGTTTCGTGTGCATAAAGACAGTACCTTTGAATATATAATATTTAATTACATTACCAGATTGAGACATTTTTGTTCAGGGCACAGGAGCCGCGTCCTTTAAGCAATGGGATACAGTTAATTGCGTTTGTAAGGTCTCAATCACGAAAACTGTTCGCGTCATGAAACCATAAGAAGAAATTTATTTGAAAAAAAAAACCTGTGTTTAATAGATAATTCAGTGTAAAGTCAATAAAATTATCTCATATAACGCAACTTACCTATGCTTGGATTTTAGCCTTAGTGTTTCTTTGTCTGTAATTTTTTAAGATAAACAATTTACTTAATCTGACATACGATTATAATAATAAAAATAGTGTAGATAATACGTAAGTGTTATGTCACATGGAAATTTTTGTTACAAGTGTAAGGATTGTCTTTCTTAATTCTTAAAATATAATACTTACTATACAAATATCACTTTAAAATGAAACCGATACCCTTACAATACAGGGCCCAGGTTAACATAAAAATGTATTGTAGTTTTTAATATTCACAGCTCCTTAGCGAAAATTCGAAGACATACCTTTGGATAGTAGATTTGGAAGTGGGACAAAGAAGCATACCTAAAATTTAGGTTATGTAAATGTTTTTTTAAATAGTCGCTGTCATCGAATGATATGCATTAAATACTTCTCACACGAATAGATAAGGATTATACAAGCATATGGTCAAGAAAAGATATACTTGTTTTAAGCCTAGGTACCAGTCCTGTGTGATGATGTTGACCTATACAATCACATTAAAAACTATCATTTGCAAAAACTTGCAAATGATAGTTTTTTCAAAGATTGTGAGTGTACTTTATACTCATAATCACCAAACGGTATTCATTGAAGGTCATACAGGTTTACGCACCTACCTTTGTACATCCCGATGAGGAGGTGGAGGAAATATATGAGGATATCTATAAGGCCATGCATTCCCCAAAAACCTATGCGGTGTTAATGGGAGACTTCGACGCAATATTAGGCACAAGAGAGTACGGTGAGATGAAAGTAGGGAAATTCGGATTAGGACAACGGAACCCAAGAGGCCAGTAGCTGGCCGAATTCATGGAGAAAGAGGGACTCTTCATGATGAATTCTTTCTTCCACCCCTGGCCCTACAGGAAGTGGCTCTGGTCGAGCCCCGACTTTTCGACAAAAATGAGATTGACTTTATTATGAAACCAGAGTACAACTGTTCAGTGATGTCTCAGTGATCGAGGGTGAAATCTGGTAGCGAACACCGAATGGTTAGAGGCACACTAAACCTAAACGTTAAGTTGGATAGGTCACGTCTACTGAAGTCAACGCTCCGTCACCCTCGAGCTCTGAACCAAAGCCCCGAAACCTTTAAGGACCGTTTTCAGTGTCTAGAAGACTGCAATGCAGTGGATGATATGAATGACAAGCTCGTGGAAACTGTCCATGCAGTCGGAGC